TCCCCAATCCTCACACCTGCAGCTTCTGCCCTGATGCTTCTCTAAGTTGTTCCCCAATAAAGAGGAAGGATAGTGGCCCACAGCCCTCTTACCCCCAACATGCACAGCAGGGGCAGTGGCACCAGCATGTCCTTGGGGGTCATGTACAGGACGCTTGAGGTCACAGGGTCACTCCCTGTTCTCTGGGAAGCAGTAGATGTTTATCCACAGTGTTTTCTGGAGGGTTTTCTCCCAAACCTGCCCTCCCTCAGAAGCTTTCCTTCTTTCCAGAGACAAACAGGGAAGGGAAGGCAGAATCTTTTCACCTTAGGTCTGGTGACACCCTGTCAGGAGGGCCCTTTTGCATCCCACTCCCCACTCATGTCACCTGTGCCAAGTGTTCATCCCCACCCCCTTCAGAGAACAGATGGAGAGCCATCTCTCTCTCTGCTCTCTCAGAATTCTAAGAACATCTCTTGGAGCAGGAAGGTCTGGGAACCTGGACCTACCAGCATCCAAATTCTCTCTCTCTCTGTTCTGGTTCTCAGCCCAGGTCTGGTCACACAAGAAGCCTCAAGAAGGGGTGGCTGAACTCGTGTTCGTGACAAGGGGCCCCTCATGCTCATAGGCTCAAACTGAGAAGGGTAGGGTAGCCCTGACTCTAGCTCCATAGGTGAGGGGGCCCCTGGTGGGTCTCTGCTCAGTTTGAGGTTGGAAAGTCACTGGACTAATATGAGGCTGTGAGCCAATTCTCAGGGTTCCCAGGACCCTGCACTCTCACCCTCTATCTTCTCTACAGTTCCTCCAGACAGAAAAGGCCTCCCATCTTTATGGATCTATTGAATCTTCCTGTTCTTACACCAGCTCCACTTTCCCCTGACTTTGCCTGGCTTGCTCTGTCCACTAACATTACTAACATTCACACACTAACATTCTCCCTGCTGTGGTCCACTGAAGCCACAGAATCCTTTCTCCAATATGAATATTTCCCTCCATGTAGAATGAATTGAAACTTAGAATTTATTTCAGTGACCTAACAGCTCCTAACACAACACCTTAACCAGACTTCTGATTCTTCATTTCTTCATTTAAGCTGAATTGGGAAAGGATACTGCCAAGCACAGAAAAGACTCACAGAATATGTTTCCTGTTGTGCAGAGCTCTGAAACAGTACAAGGAAGGGATTTCAAAAAAAAGAAAAGAAAAGAAAATATCATCCCACTGTTGAGGAAAGGAAGAAAGGCAAGGATCTGATATAGGTTTTCTGGAGTCAGCCATGAGGGTCAAAGAACCCATTGGCCTCTGAGAAATGCATTGTTTATCTGAGGTGAAGGCTCCTCTTCCCTAGGATGTGGGGTGTCTAAGCAGCGACTGAGGAGGATTTGGGGTACATCGCTGTGCAATAGTACACAATGCCATCAGCCTCATTACCCATCCCCACCTCCAAATGTATCTGGAGACAGCATCAGATTCTATAGGTCAGGAGCTCAATTCTTAACCTGCCAATCCAACCCAACATCAAATGCCAGTCTGAAGTCCAGGTTGTCACCTGTGCTTCTGACCAACTGGCTCTGAATCAGAAGTCCCAAAAATCTCAACTTCTTCGGATTTATTAACTTGCCAAAGCAGTTCACAGAACTCAGAGCACATATTACTCACTAGATCACAGGTTTATTATAAAAGAATATGACTCAGGAACAGCCAGACAGAAGAGATGCAGAAGATGGAGAGTGCAGTAAGGGGTGTGGAGCTTCCATGGCCTCTGGGAGTTCCCCTCTCTGCCAGTGCCTACACGTGTCCACTAACCTGAAACCCCCAAAACCTCTTCCTTTTTGGTTTTTATGGAAGCTTCATTACATAGTCATGATTGTAAATCACAGACCATTGGTGATTAATTCTTCCCAGCCTCTCTCCTGTCCTGGTCCTCTCTGGCCTTCACACCACCTGACACAGCAGGCAATTCTCATAGTGGGGATTGCAGATGTGGCCCCAACACAGCCTCATCCCCTAGGCTCATCCTTTGTCCTGTGGTCAGGAGTGAGGGACAAATGGGATGGCATATGGGGCACTGAGAGAAGAGAAAGTTGTGACCACAACCACAGGTATGGACAGAAGGGCAGAAGAGGAAATTTCCCCATAACCTGCACCATGTTTTGGAGGGCCTCAGGGGCAGAGAAGAGACGAGGCTGACACACCTCTGAACAGAAGACCCATCCTTAGTAACCCACAGCAGTGAACTGGAAGAAAGGAGAAACCACTATCTCACTTTAAAGATTTTACTTTATTTTTATTTTTATTTTTAGAGAAAGGGGAAGGGACGGAGGAAGAGAGGGTGAAAACATCAATGTGTGGTTACTGCTCATGCACCCCGCACTGGGGACCTAGCCTGCAACCTGGGCATGGGCCCTGCCTAGGAATCGAATCAGCGACCCTTTGGATTTCGAAAGGCTGGTGCTCAATCCTGAGCCACACCAGTCAGGGTTACTATCTCATTTCAGCCAGGGTCACTCACAGCCCCTATCTCACTTTAGGGAAGCCACCAGAATTCATCTCAGAGAGAGGAGTGTGTGTTTGTGTGTGTGAGTATGTGTGAATTTTACTTCATATAAAGTAATGACAAAAATTATTTGTATCTCTCTCAGCTACCTTCCTCATGCACCCAAATGGGGATCAAACCTGCAACCTTTTGGTGTACAACATGGTGTTCCCAACAGGGCCACACCAACCAGAGCAAAAATCATATGCTTTTAAAAAGTGATACTCTCAATATTTCCAGTACCCAGCTGGCACCATACATGGATATTAAATTATCATTGTCTATGTTCCCTCTTGTGCACTTTGCACCCCAGTGAATATTCCATAAGGTGTCTCTTTAATTCAACTTGTCAGCAAGGGTCTGGCTCATTCAAATCCTCAATGAAAAACCAAGGCCAAGACCACCCTCTGCAGAACACAGTACAATCCCCATTTTTATGTCCAGAATAATCTCTCATGAGACCCTCCCCACAAGAAACAAGTACCTCCTGGTTTCTGGTTCCCTCCTCTTGACATTGGTGAAATGCTAGCTCTTCAGGGAGTTGGCACAGATTCAGTGGCATTTTAGGAAATAAAATTGACCTGCATTAGATTTTTGCATATTTTGAATCCAGAGTCTGAGAGACCCACTAGAGGAGAGGAATGGAGTCACTGCAAACACTCATTACAGATTTATCCCAGAGCTGTGAGCTTAACCCCAGTCATTCTCAGAATCTCTGCTTGGGCTCAGCAAACTCCCACAGACACTAAATAGAATCATAAAGTGAATTTTCATGTTGTATAACTTAACACAATTTTTATTTATTATTACATAGTAACTAACTACAAGGTAGGGTGTGTTTGAAACAAGAAAAGGAAGAGCTGTGCTCCCCAACTCTACTGCACACAGACATCTACATGGACGATGCTGTTTGAGAGACAAGAAACTCAGGTGCTAACCAGGTAACTTCTGGGCAATGGGAGGATAAGGCCCCAAATTCACTCCCTTCCTGGGCCTGGGGATGGAGACACAGGAGCAGGGGGTGGGGAGAGAGACAGGACAAGTTGAATGGGAGAGACACAGGCAGCAGCAAAGGGGCCGTCATGGGTGTGTATCACTTGTGGTTCATTTTTGTATCTTATGATGCTTTCAAATCTTTAAAACCCTGCTAAATGAGGAGACACAGCCCCTTCCATTACTGGCTAATTCTCACAGACAGGAAAGATCTCTGTTAGGAACAGTTGGTCAGGTGCAAACCACTCAATCCTGAGCCCATATTCCCAGTCATTGCAGCCTGTCCTCAATCACCTAGGAGCTGGGACCAAGGACATGAAGACTTCCCCAACAAACAAACACTCCTGATTATTTCATGATAGCTGATCTTAAAATGCTTTCCCTGCCCTGCCTTGCATTTCCCATGGAAACTCCAATAAAGACTGACTAGTCTGCCCCCAACTTCTATCTGCTCCCTGAGGCAGCATGGTGCTTCCCCCAGGGCCCTGCATGGCCTTGTGGGGCCTCCTCTCAGGAAATGAAAGGAAAACCTTCCTTTATTGGTGTTGACTCTCCTTGTGGTCACACAGCCGCTTACACAAATTAAAACCCCAAGGGTACAATTGAGACAGGTGAGTCAGGAGTTCCCAGGGAGAATGTGACACTGATGTCCCACGACCGCCCCTCTGGACTCCATGTCTCACCTCAGTGCCGTTCTCACAAGAAGGGACGATCAGTCAGGTTACGGCCTCATTCTCCTTGGTCCTCCACACCTGTGGGGCCAACACAGGTCTCAGCTCAGGGACTTGGCTACTTTAGTTCTAATTCTGGGCAGGTGGGACCACTCAGTCCTACCTGGAACTTGGGGCCAATCACTGACCTCCCTGATGGAGAGACAGCTGCTCACCTGGTGTAGTAGAGCTATGTGAGGCCATAAGTGAGGAGGAAGCCAGCCCCCATGAGGGGCCCCTCTGATCAGAGTGAGGACCAGGGGCCAGGAGCCCTGCTGCTCCTCAGTCACGCATTTGCAAGAAGGGGGTTGTCCTGGGGAAGAGGAGAGGGGGTCAAGCTGTTACTCCAGGTCTCACAGCCCCAACACCTGACCTGGCTGCCCACCACCAGTGCCTGTCTTGCAACTGGCTCAGCACAGCCAGGCTGAAGGAAACATGCTGGGATCCCAGTGGGTGCTGAGTCTGGCTGATGAACTCCCCTCTGTCTCTAGCCCCTACATGGTTCAGCTCCAGGACCCTGGGTGATGAGGGCTGGGACGGGCTCAGGGCTTTTTCCCTCCAGGGTCCAGCTCAGTTAGCCCACACACTCACCAGACCCTGTCTTGTCTTCCCACCTTTTTGCAGAACCCCCTGTAGCTGTAGGGTTCTGTTCAGACAGGAGATGGAGGGATCCTGTCCTAGCAAATCACGCCCTTGCTGGGCCACAGCCTCTTTCCCCAGCTCCATCCTCCCTTTGATCCCTTCCTTTCTCCCTCAGCCTCCACCCCCAGCAGGCCCCTGACCTGGCAAGAGCAGCAGGACACTGGCGCTCTGGGCCCCGTGGACATTCTTCGCCTCGCAGGTGAGTCTGAGCCTGGCACTGAGCCCCACTGAGAGGCTCAGGGAGCTGTTGGCCCAGGGCCCAGAGGACCTGGAGGTTACCATGTGGGAGGTGTTGCTGGGGTTCCCCTCCAGCAGCCCCTCCCCCAGCCACCAGCGCAGCAAGGGGGCTGGCCTAGCTTGGGAAGAACAGCTGCAGTGCAGACTCTGGTCGTCCCAGGAGCAGGAGGGTCCCAGCAGACGTGGGGGGTCTGTGGGGAGCAAGAAGTGTCAGTGGTGCCTCTGCCCTCCCAAAACCCAGGTGTCCTGCCCACAGGGGTCCCCACACTCACAGACCACAGAGAGGTTGAGAGAGATACTTCTGGAGCCCAGCGGGTGCTGAGCTTGGCAGGTGAACTGTCCTTCTTCCCCAGTCCCCACAAGAGGCAGCTCCAGGATTGCGGTTCTGGAGATGAAGGCAGCTTTCAGGGCTGGGGGCCCCCGGAACCACCTCAGCTGTGCAGGGGGGTTGCTGTCAGCCACACAGAGCAGCTGCACACCCTCGCCCTCCAGGATGGGAAGGGATGTGGTTTGCAGAACCTTGAGGGCTAGTGGAGAGAGATGCAGACAGAGACAGAAAGAAGGCGGAGTGATGGGGAGAGAGAGAGAACACAGGTAAATGCACCAACCCACAAGAGGTGAGAGAGGGAGGGTGGTAATTTTCCTCCTTGCCTCTCCCACATCTGATCCCATTCACACTCTGATTCCCCTCAGCTCATTGGCTGTCCCTGGGGCAGGTCCCAACCCCACAGAGGGAGGTTCTTTCCTACCTGTGACATTTCTGAAGGACACACCTATGGTGAGGTTCTCTGGGGCATCTGGGACAGAAAGACATGGCCGTCCTTCAGAGAGGAGTGAATAGAAGTCACCCCAACCCAAGGAGGGGCAGTGGGAACCAGAATGGCGGCATAGCTGTGCTCTGGCCCACTCCCCTTCTACACTCAGATGTGCAAATAAGTTTCCTCTTTTTAGCTCAGCCTACTGTACACACACACACACAAAATACACACAAAGACACAAACAATCAGGTTCGCCAGTCCCACTGCCCCCAGGACACCAGCTGTCCCTCCAACACTCACAGGAGACATTGAGCTGAATGGTTTTCTGTGTGGTCACCCCAGGTCCTGCAAGTGTCACCAGACAGGTGACTGTGGTGCCGTGGTCCCTGGGCTTCGGAGTGAAGGTGAGCACAGAGGAGTGAAGGGTCTTGGGATTCAGAGAGTCCAGAGCACTCCCCACCCATGAGAAGATGAGAGGACTTCCCCCTTTGCAGGACACTGGCAGGCTGCAGCTCAGCTGTGTGGGGCGGCCAGACTCCAGAGGCCCCCTGAATGTGGATGTCAGGTTTCTGTGTCAGGTCTGAGGAGGAGAGAGGGAGGTGCCTAGGACCTGGGGCTCCAATGGGGACCCAGAATGTGACTGGGCCTGGGACCCATGCCACAGGGCCTGAGCTCACCCCCAGGTCCTGTGTCTCTTCTAACACCCTGGGCTCAAGGCTGGGATCAAGTAGTGTCCCAGGGTCCTGTGGTTGTTCTAGCTGGGTCCCATGTCTCTGCATCCTCTCCTGGGCCCCTGCCATACCTGTCACCTGCAAAATCAGCTTCTTCTGTTGGTAATCATTAAGGTGAGTATATTGTCTCTGCACTCGTAAGATGTACGTTCCTGCGTCACTCTTCCTGGCGTCTCTGATGCTCAGGGAACAGTTGTTGGCGCTGGGATCCATGAGGAAGAATCGGCGCTGTGTCTCCATCTTCACTGGTGTATTTGGGTCATTCGTAGCCACAACTTCAGAGCTATGTAAATGGTGACCACTGTGGTACCAGTGGATGTAGATTTTATCAGAGGGATGCAATGATATCCAAATAGAGGGGAAGGAGCAGGGCACGTCGGTGCATCCACCCTCCTGGACCCTCACAGATTCCTGCAGCTTGATATCATTGGCTCGCTGCTGCTGCTGCTGCTGCTTCTGCAGGGAACCTGGGGGGACACAGACACTCAGCATTGGCCCCAACCCATCCCCACCTCCCCACCCCTCTTCTCATGCCCTCTCACCTCCCCACAGCAGGGGCAGCAGCAGTAGGGGCAGCATATTCACTTCTCACAGGGCAGAGCTGGTCCAGGGCCCTGTGCCAGTGAAGGAAATGCCCAGCTGTGGGGTGGGGCCAATGACACCCCAACAGGAAGCCATGGGTGACAGAACTGTGGTCAGGCCTGGAGGGGAACTTGGGCTCCACAGGCTGTGGGGGGTACTGTGAGGGCTGAGAAATCATCCTGTGTCACCTCCCCCAATCTGACCCTGCAAGTAGATCTACAGTCCTCAGATGCTTAGCAGCTTGTGCAGATGTGAATCTGAATGTGTTCACCTTGCAGTTGATGTTGAAGTCGAGAGGGAGGTCACCTAGGGGTCATTCCAGTGAGAGGTGTCCCTGGTGCTTCAGGAGACCCACCCTCCAGCCAAACCACAGAATGTGCTGGGAAAGAATGCATTTAAATTTTGCTTCAACTACCCAAGTGCTGATAAGAGTAGAAGGAAATTTACACCCAACTCCACTGGAGGGTGGAATCCAAAAGGAAGCTGAGTGTTAAAGCCCTATGCACTGTGGACACTGGGACATGGGATGCACAAGTACAGGGTCAGAGGGTGTCCCACTGTGTGGGACAGTGACAGTGCACAGGTGCCCTCAGTGTGGGATGTGAGCAGGGAGATCTCGTCCCATTCAAGGGGACATCACACTCTGGCCCTCAGCACAGCAGCAAATTTTCAGTCTTAAAGCTCAAGAAGCTCCATCCTCAAGGCCTCTCATGAGCTCAGCCCCTTCTCAAAGCCCCAGCAAGGGCTCAAGTGATGTGTGGAAATAACCTGAAATCCTACTGCTCTTTCTGAAAGAAAGAAACTTGGTAAACGTTTTCTCAACCATCACAATGTTGTGAAAGTGTCAGGGTCAGACATTCCTTGTAACAAGTCGTGAGATTGAAAGTTTCTTAAACTACCATATCTTGCCATGTATAATGCACCATTTTTGCCCAAATTTTTGAGGGAAAAATAAGGATGCACATTATACATGGGTGGTACTAGTTCTGTATCTATATAAATGCTTTTAATTCTTTTATTTATGCTTAGGCATTAATAGTACATTTCTAGAAAATAATAATAGTATCTCTAGGCAAAATAATACCCTGGAATACAACAATCAGTTTAGTTTCTACATACAAATAAATGAAAAATCAGCCCTGGCTGATGTAGCTCAGTGGATTGAGTGCTGGGTTGAGAACTGAGGGGTTACAGGTTTGATTCCCAGTCAGGGCACATGCCTGGGTTGCAGGCCAGGCTCCCAGTAGGGGGCACACAAGAGGCAACCACACATTGATGTTTCTCACTCTCTCTTTCTTTCTCTCTTTTCCCTTTTTCTGAAACTAAATAAATAAAATCTTTTCAAAACTTGAGTTCAAAACTGAAAATGAAAGATTTTTTTCTGAAACCTTGGGCCAAAAAGGGGGGCACACATTATACAAGGAAGTGCTTTATACACAGCAAAATATGGTACACAGGAAAATGAAATGTCAATCTCCAGTGCCAAGGAAATGCTAGATCTCTTTATAGTGGCTCTATTATATAAACATTATATTATTATAATAATTAATAATGATTACTAATATAATATTAATACCTATTACAGTAAGACAGAATTATTCTCCTATGAAGAAGCAATCAAAAAAGTATCAGTCAAAAAACTGTTGGGGACATGTGTCCTGCAGGTGGGCCAGACAGGAATGCCACACTACTAATGCAAAATAGTCTGTAATTGTCTCAATTGTCTTATATTTTGGTTTTCAGCATTTTGGCTCTTCTTACTTGATGTGATATGTTTTCCCATTTCAGAAAAATTCATGGGTGCCACATGTTGCTTTTTCATTGAAGCAGTGATCTCAACATTAGTAGAAATAGCAAGATCCACAAAACCTGGGTCTGCCTCTCCCATGGGAACATGTGAACCAGAGGTAACCAACTTGTCCCATGCCTACCCCTGACTCTTCACATGTTGCTAACAAGATTGTCCTGTGCAAGCAAAGGACAAAGGAGGTAGGATTTCCATGTTGGTGCCCCCACATCTCATAATTCAGTGGTCTAGAAAATCTCAACCTATCTGGATTATAAAAATGACAAGAAGAAGAAGTCTTGGCAAGAATGTTCAAAAAGGGGAACCCTCTTTCACTGCTTGTGGGAATGTAAGCTGGAGCAGCTGCTATGTAAATCAGTATGGCAGTTCCTCAAACACTGAAAACAAAGCTGCCCTGGGGTCCACCAATTCCACTTCTGGGTATTTATTTGGAACAAATGAAAACACTATCTTGAAAAGCCCTGGGCACCCCTATGTTCACTGCAGAATCATTTACAATAGCCAAGATGGGGAAGCAACCTCAGTGTCTGTTGGTAAATGAAGGATGAAGAAAATGTGGTGTATGTACAATGGAATATGATTCTGCCATAAGGCTAAGTGAATCAACATGGCAGAGAAGAACAAATACTGCACAATTTCATTTGTATGTGGGAACTTAAAAAACAACTCAAACTCAGAGATAGAATAGGTAGGTGATTCTCAGAGAAGGAAAACGGGTGCAAAATAAAAAGGCAACACACAGAATGGAAGAACATATTCACTGATATACCTGATGCAGGGTTAATATCCAACATTTAAAAAGAAATTACAAGTTCAACACCAATAAAATCCAATTAAAAAATAAGCAAAGGACCTGAATAGACACTTCTCTGAAGAAGACATACTGGTGGCCAATAGACAAATGAAAAGATGCTCGTCATCACTAAACATCACAGAAATGCAAATTAAAACCACAACAAGATATCATCTGACACCTGTCAAATGGCTATTATCAATCCATCAGCAAACAAGTGCTGGCAAGGATGTGGGAAAGGGGAACACTTTTGCACTGTTGGTGGAAATGCAGATTTGTGCAGCCTCTGTGGAGACCAGTATGGAGACAACTTGAAAAATTAAAAATGGATCTACCATATGATCCAGCCATTCCACTTCAGGGAATATATCCAAAGGGACCCAAAACACTAATTTAGAAAGAACATGTTCACCCCCATGTTAATTGCAACATGATTTACACCACCAAGATATGGAGCAGTCTGAGTGTCTATCTATAGATGAGTAGGTAAAAGAACTATGCGGCATTTACACAATGGAATACTACTCAGCCATAAAAAAGAAGAAAAATTTACCCTTTGTGACAATACGGTTGGCCCTGGACAGCATTATAGTTAGTGAAATATGTCAGTCACAGAAAGAAAAACACCATATTATTTCACCTATATGTGGAATCTAAAGAACAAACTGAACTACCAAGCCAAACAGAGACAGACTCATGGATGGAGAGCCGATGACAGCTGGTGTTGGGGGGAGTTACAGGGTGGAGGGATTGAGCAAAAATCCAAAAGGACTCATGGACATGGACAACAGTGTGGTGATTGTGAAGGTAAGGGGGACTGTAAGGGGACTAAATGGTGATATAAAATACAATGAAACTTTTAAAAATAAAAATAAAAAATCAAACTCATGGATAGCAAGAGCAGATGGGTGGTAGCCAGAGGAAGTAAATGTGGGTAGGGAAAAATGGGTGAGGTGGTCAAACTACAAACTTTCAGTTTTAATACAACTAAATCATGAGGTCATCAGGAAGAGCATGGTGACTGTAGCTAACAAGAGTGGGTATTAGTACAATTAACTATAAGGATGCAGTTAATAATGTGTTGTACATCTGAAAATTTCTAAGAGAAAAAATTGTTAAAAGTTCTCTTTGTAAGAGAAAAGGTGTGGTATTCTGTGTGGTGATGGATGCTAACATGAGATATTGTGGTGAGCACTTGGAGATACATACATATATTAAAGCACTAAGTTTATGTCTGGGTCAAATCCCTATGCCCACCCTACTCTGGGTCCCACACACCCCATCCCCCACATCCTCTTCCAAGCCCACCCCATTGAGGACCTGTCATATCCCAGAGAGTTAGGATGTCTCTGTGTCCACATCTGGGCACCCCTCACACTTGGGAACAATTGATGGTCTTGGGGGCACAGAGGAGAGAGACTGCTCTGGCCCTCTACTTACACATTTGACTCTCTTCTGTGTAGTCACTGAATCTGCCAGGTGATGATGACTCTTTCCCAGAAGCAACAGCACAAATGGGAGCGGAGTTCACCTGTAGGTCTTGAGTGGAGATGGTACAAGGATGCAGAAGCCTTTCAGCATCACAACGTGTATGTTGGTAGAGGGTGACTCAGGGTAAATTTTATCAGTAAAAGGTGAATGTCATCGTCCCTCACCAGATCCCCTGTGCCCAGATCCCAGGGCCCTTAGCATGTGGATACCAGTTATCTGAGTCAGCCCTAGGGAGGAGACAGACACACCCCTCAAAAATGTATGACACCATGAAGGTCCTTCTCTGTCCTTCTGGCTGATGAAGCTCTGGCCCTACCTGTCCCATCCAAGGAGTACATTTTCCATTTATGACAGGATCTCCTAAGCAGTGTTCTCCTCCTGAAGGAGCAATGTCCTGCTCTCCACACCCTGACATCTGTGTTTCTCAGAGAACAGTCACAGGTGGAGGTCCCTCAAGGAGGTGGAGTAGGCCCAGGGTTGTTGATCATCTCCTTCAGGTACTGACCTGGTCTGTTTGGGCACAGGATGATCATGGTACATTTGGTTTCTTCCTTCAACGAGAAGGTGTACACTATCTACAGTAAACCCATAGATTTCAGGATGAGAGAAGGTCAGAGCATGAGAATACACAGGCACTTTGTCCTCACTGTGTCCCCAATCCTCACACCTGCAGCTTCTGCCCTGATGCTTCTCTATGTTGTTCCCCAATAAAGAGGAAGGACAGTGGCCCACAGCACTCTTACCCCCAATATGCACAGCAGAGGCAGCAGCACCAGCATGTCCATGGGCGTCATCTACAGGACCCTTGAGGTCACAGGGTTACTCCCTGTTCTCTGGGAAGCAGTAGATGTCTATCCACAGTGCTTTCTGGAGGGTTTTCTCCAAAACCTGCCCTCCCTCTGAAGCTTTCCTTCTCCCCAGGGACAAATAGGGAAGGGAAGGTGGAGCTCTTCTCACTGTAGGTCTGGTGACACCCTGTCAGGAGGGCCCCTTTGCATCCCACTCCCCACTCATGTCACCTGTGCCAAGTGTTCATCCTCATCCCCTTCAGAGAGACGATGGAGGGCCACCTCTTTCTGCTCTCTCAGAATTCTAAGAACATCTCTAGGAGCAGTAAGATCTGGGAACCTGGACCTACCAGAATCCAAATCTTCTTTCTCTCTGTCTCTGTCCTGGTCCTAAGACCAGGTCTGGTCACACAAGAAGCCTCAAGAAGGAGTGACTGAACTCATACTCATGATGAGGGGCCCCTCATTCTCAGAAGCTCAAAGCGAAAAGGGTAGCCCTGACTCCAGCCCCACAGATGAGGGTGCCTCTGGTGGGTCTCTGTTGTCAGCTTGAGGTTGGAAAGTCACTGGACTCATGTGCAGCTGGGAGCTCATTCTCAGGGTTCCCAGGGCCCTGTACTCTCACCCTCTAACTTCTCTACAGTTCCTCCAGACAGAAAAGGCCCTCCCATCTTTGTGGAAATATTGCATCTCCCTCTCCTTGCCCCACCTCCACTTCCTCTGACCTTGCCTGGCTTGCTCTGCCCTCCATGATAACATTCTCCCTGCTGTGGTCCACTGATGTCACAGAATTCTTTCCCCAATCTGAATGTTTACTCTTCAGGTAGAATGAAGTGAAACTTAGAATTTATTTGAGTCACCTGTCAGCTCCAGAAAGAACATATCTACCAGACTTCTGATTCTTCAATTCTTCATTTGAGCTGAATTGGGACTGGGCATACTGCCAGGCCCAGAAAAGACTCACAGATCCTATTTTCCGTTGTGCAGAGCTCTGTGACAGTACAATGAAGGGATTAAAAGATAAAGAAAATACCAACCACTCTTGTGAGGAAAAGAAGGAAGGAATGGGAAGAGTCTGACCCAGACGGTTTTCTGGATGAGGTGACAGTAGATTCAGCCCTGACAGGCAAAGAACCCAGTGTCCTCTGAGAAATGCATTGTGTCTCTGAAATTAAGGCTCCTGTACCCAAGGATGAGGGACGTGTCCAAGGGGAGACTGAGGAGGGTTTGGGTGCACCTCTGTTCTGTAGGATAGAAGGCCAACGGCCCTCATTCTCCCAGCCTTACCCCACATGAGGCAGGTCAAGGCTCTGCCTCCAGGGGTGGCACCATCCTCCATGCTAGACCTGAGGGCTCCTCCAGGAAAAGTTGGCATTGTCCGTGGTTCTGGAGCACAGCTGGGATAGCTCTGCCAAGGAATTCAGCCCACAGGCACAAGGGCCTGAGCTTTAGGTAAGCAGGGCACCTAGGATACAGGGGCTTTGGCAAGGTGGGGTCCTAAGGCGGGGTCCTTCTTGGGAAGGAGGAGTCAGGAGAAGGTGTGGCAGTGGGCTGGGTTCATGTCTGTGCTTTTCCTCTCATCCCTCTGATTTCTCATCACGCTGTTTAATGTTATTCTTCCTTGAAATTTTTCCACAAAAGGCAACCATGGGAACAAAAATATTTCAGGTTTCAAATAGTTTTTCTATGTATTGGTTGTGAAAAAATATATATAGTTCATGTTGTATAAAGCTTATATATTTACTATAGCTTATACTATATAAATGTCTTATAAATATTATAATGAACATATAACTAATTATTACAATGAGTAATATACTGTACTTTTTCATATTGTATTTTATATATTATAGTACAATATTATACATTTATAAATATGAGAAATACATAATATGGTACCTTATTAAAATAGTTTACATTACACAAGCATATAAGTTACACTATGGGATCATATCTCAAGTCAAGAATTAAACAGGAAGGTTCCCCAGGAGTCTCAGAATTTCTCTTCATTCCCCTTTGTCTCCAAGCCCCTTTCATCTCCAGGTCATGAAGGCCATAGAACCAAAGCTACATCATCAGTGTAGGTAAATGCCATTGGGAACTTTGGTATCTTGGCTTAAATATTCTGTCTCATTTTCTGGACTCAAGTATTCCCCCAAATGCTAGTCTAACAAGTGCACATTTTCATTTATTTTCAATTATTTTACATTTTTTAAAAATGAAGGGTTTTATTTGTTCTATTACTTTTTCCCCAAAGAATTTTGTTATTTTCAGCACAAGTCCTGAGGAGAATGGTTTAACCAGTTATTACCAAAACAAGAGTCACAATTCAACTTCTTGCCATACTGAAATTGGAGTCATGTAGTGGATGTGGGACCCAAAGCCCTCCTAGTTCCACACTGTAACTGTGCCCTTCTTTCCTCAGCACCACTCTCTAAAATTGAGGAAATAAATCACCTATATGCAGGTGCTTGTCTTGTGTCACTGGGGGCAATCACCTGGGCCCATTCTACCTGTGGACACCCCACAGACATTTCCCCTTTACAGCCAATGTTGTGGCCGGGACCAGCCCTAGTGGTTCTTGTTATGAGTATAAGACACACTTCAGCAACAACCATTAGGGAACTTTGGGGGGAAAAAAAACAGCTTTATTACAGTCATCTCCTATTATCCACAGTTGTGCTTTACATGGTTTCTGTCATCTCTGTTCAAACACAGTCCAAAAATACTAAATGGAATATTCCAGAAGTAAACCATTCATGTTTTAAATTTTGCAATTTTCTAAGTAGTATGATGAATCTTGTACTCCCTCTGTATGCCCTGCCTGGGTGTGAACAATCTCTTTGTCCTGCATCTCCACACTGTATATACTGCCCCACTTGTGAGTCACTTAGTAGCCAACTAGGTTGTCAGATCTACTGTCCTAGTATCTGGGTGCTTGTGTTCCAGTCACCCTTGTAGTAGCCTCATGCTGTGTCACAATGTCTGTGGCATTCACCTCCCTACACCTCATCACATAGGCATTGTGACACCTTACAACAGCGCAGGAAGTGATGCAGACCCTGGCCGGCAGGGCCCATGTGTTGTGGCTGTGATAAACAAATTCACACAGACTAAAGAAGTCCTGTAAAGAAAAGGGGACGGGATGATCACTCTCTCAGTGAGAGATGACCTCAACCCCTGCCTGGACAAGCTTTTATTGCGTTTCTGGGCACATTACATCGAGGGTGGTCCTCATTTACTATGCACAGGTTGGCTTTAGGTGGTTACCTTTTACAGAAAGCACGTGGCTCACTGTGGCTGCACCGGCTGCATCTCAATCCTTTGTCTCTGAAAAAATTTCTTTTTGGTGATGGAATGCCTAGTCAGCTCATGCTTACAGCCAACAGGTGGTTGGAAAGATCCCTGTGGGGGCTGCACATGGGACAGGGGAAGGGAGTGGCAGTCAGGAGGTGCTGGAGAATGGACAGGTACAAGTGAGGTGAAATGAACCCAGAGAACCTATGATACCTCATCATGAATAAAACAAAAGGTAGACAGGGATGTCTTTGCTTGTATAGGCTTTGAGGAGTTCTGGGATGGAAAATGAGAACAAAAAGTTGTCACCCTGTCTTTTATGGCTGGTCACCCCTGGCTTCAGGAGAACTTGCCACCAGGACCTTTCTGTTCAAAAAAAGAGAGACAGGCAAGCCTTGGACCTCTGTTGCTTATGATTTCTTTAATGCTCACAGCTGCCTTTGAGTAGCATGCATGATCTCTACTGTACAGAATGAGAAACTGAGGACCGAGAAATGAAGTAAATCACTTGAAGACAATGCCGTAGGAAGTGCTGAAGTCTGCACTTGAGCCCAAGTCTCTCCAATCCCATCACCTTCTTTCTGCTCTGCCTGCAGATGCTCTTACCACTGTCAGAGCATTCATGCTAATGTTGCACGAGGTTGCCTTATGCTTCACCAACTAGTCCCCAACTTCTTTCCCTCAGAGAGGCTGTAATGTTTCTGGTCAGGCCTAATCTCTGAGAGAGTTCTCATTCGCTGGTCTTCTTGATCTCTGAGTACACGCAGGTGCTGGTGTCCTCCTTGTCCTGACCCTCACACAGGTTCCCCCTCTGAAAACTGAGGTTGGCATACTGGCTATCCTGCTCCTCTCCCAATGGAGAAGAATCCTCCATGGGTGATGCTTGGCCTGGGGGCCTGTCTGGCTGTGGATTTTGCTGGGAACCCTGAGTGAAGGGGAGAGAAGAGAGTCAGAGAAGAAAAAATCAGACATGGTCTTGAGGGGAAGTTCAGCTGATAGAACAGTTTTTATTCATCCTCTTATTCCACACACTCCACAGGAACTCAACTATTTGCTCATTCCTTTAAAATTTTGTAATGCTACAGTTGATTACACCAGATCAAGGGCTTACTAATAACATTTTATCCTCACTGAAACCAAGTCTAAATGATACTCTTACTCTTTCCATTTACAGATAGGAAAACTGAGATGAGGAGAGTTGAAGAAACATGCCCAGAATGGGTAGAAAGTAATAGTTTTGGAGAGACAGTTCTGGCAGGCTATACTGGGAAAGAGGTGAAGTGGGCTCAGTGGTCAGTAGTGCTGGGGCAGGAGGCTGACCCTGGGCTCTAGATTAGGAAGGGGAAGTCAACTCCCAGCTGTCTGTCTAGGTGACCACAGAGGAGCGGGTTTGGGGAAATTCTGAGCAGCTCAGTCCATACTCATTGAAGGGACATGCCCAGCCCCTCCCCCTACACTGCATGAGAAGATACTCACATCACGCACCCAAGTGACTGTACCCATGACAGGGTCTTCATCATTCATGACCTTTTGTCTCCCACCTGTTTGCTTCTTGTGGAATTTCACTCTAAGGGAAGAAGTCAGGAGACACAATGGCTCAGGCACAGGTGGGCAGGCTGCCTCCACTTCCTGAGAAGACCACTGAGGCATCCAGATCTCAGAAACTAACTCAGAGACCTTCTGACATGCAAGTGCTCCATCCCCTGGATGACCAGGTGTTTGGCCGAGACTAAACTTACATCACAATAGGCCCCTACACAGGGAGAAACTTCTACATAAGCAATCATACCAGTGTTATTCCTGAGAGCTCCAAAGTAGAAACAACCCAACTGTCCATCAATGAATGGGGAGACCAATAAAAAGTGCAGCATCCATGCCATGAAATATTATTTGAAATAAAAGGAATAAAAAATGACACATGAACCTTGAAAATATCACTATGTGAAAAAAGAGTCAAAAAGGATAATTGTTGTAGGATCCTATTTATACAAAACATTCAGAATGGGCAAATCTAGAGACACAGGAAATAGATTAGTGTCTATCTGGGGCTGGGGCAAAGATGGTGGCAAAAATGACAAATAAGGGATTTTTTAGCTCATTTTGTGCTAATGAAAATGATTTAAAATTAATTATGGCGATAAGGCACAATTCTGTGACTGAACAAAAAGCCATTGAATTGTACATTTTAAATATATAAGAATTTACCCTGGCTGGTGTGGCTCAGTGGATTTAGCACCAGCCTATCAACTAAAGCATTGCCAGTTTGATTCCCAGGCAGAAAAAATACCTGCGGTGCAGGCCAGGTGTCCAGTAGTGGGTGCACGAGAGGCAACTACACATCGATGTTTCTCTCCCTGTCTCCCTCCCTTCCCCTCTGTCTAAAAATAAATAAATAATATATTTTAAAAAATTAAAATAAATACAAGAATTTTATCTCAATAAAGGTGCTACCCAATCTCTCTCAAAAAAGACCCCTCTTCCCCTGGCTGGTGTAGCTCAGCAGACTGAGCATGGCTGCAAACCAAAGGGTAGCAAGATTCATTCCCAGTCAGGCCACATGTCAGGGTTATGGGCCAGGTCCCCCCAGTGGGGGACACGTGAAGGACAATCACACATTGATATTTCTCTCCCTCTCTTTCTACTTCCCTTCACCTCTCTAAAAATACATGAATAAAAACTTTAAAAATATGAAATATTAAAATAGGCCTCTCCATATGGACTTAGCTCCACTTTGGATTTAGGGGCCTCTCTCTGTACCCTCTATGACACAGCTCCCTGTACCTCCCCAGGACACAGGCTTACATGCAAAAGAAGATGAGACACAAGCATAGGGACAGGAGCACCATGGCACCGGCACCTCCAAGAGCAGCGGGAACCACTCTGCACACGAATACTGCCTGTTCTGTAGAGAAGAGGAGCGTGGGCCCATCCTCTCTCAGGGCTCTGGGTCCTGTCTTCCCACA